CAAAAGGGGTGGAGAGAAGGGGAAAGTGTCCCCCCGCCCGTCCCCGTCCCCCCACCCCCGGGCTGTATAAGAGCAGCCCGAGCCGGCGATGGGGCAGAGGGTGGCAGCTGGGGTGGGCTCCAGCCCCGCAGCGCCCCGGGGCTCCCCCCGCCCGAGGACCGGCCGCTGCGGGATGCTCTGGGCACCCACAAATACACTGCTCCACAAGGTACAGTCCGGGTTTATTATTAACAAACACAGGAAGAGTCCACGTGCGGCAATAAATTATTTTCACAGGTTCTGGCGTTATTTAATATTTTTTTTTTTCCCCCGAAAAAAAAAGGTGCTGGTGGAATAAACTTATTGCATATCTTAAAAAAATCAGGATAAATTATATAAATTATACATTCAAAACAGACGATTCTACCTCATTATCACTACTCCATAATAAATAGATAAATAAAGTTGATTGCCCTTAGAGTCTGAATCTTAAATTACATTTACAATATAGGTCTCTACATACAGCATGTACAGAGCGGGGGCCACCTGCGCGGCGCCTCACGCCACGAAGTCGAAGGGGGGCTCGTTCTCGATGTCGTTGAGGGAGGGTTTGTTGTTCACCTTCCGCGGGTCCTCGGGGGTCCACACTTTGGCTGTCCGGATGATGTTTTGTTCCTTGAGTTGCTTTTCATCAGTCCACGACAGCGAGTGACCGGCCAGAGGGGGGAGTCCGTAGTCGGGGTCGCTCGGGGAGGGAGATCCTGAAGGGGGACAGGGAGGGGAGAAAGGCAGAGGGGTTACTGCTGGGTCCGGCATTCCTGCGGAGCCGGGACGGGACGGGACGGGCCGCCACTTACTTGTGCCGCGGTGGCAGATGATGATTTTCTTGGGCTGGCTGGGGCTCTCGCTGCTGGCGCTGCGCAGCGGCAGGTCGGACTGCACCAGCTCGCTGAGGAAGTTGATGTAGCCGATGGCCAGGCGCAGCGTGTCCACCTTGGAGAGGCGCTTCTCGTAGGGCAGGGTGGGGATGTGGGAGCGCAGCCCCTCGAAGGCGTCGTTGATGGACTGCATCCGCCGCCGCTCCCGCACGTTGGCGGCCTGCCGGAGCTGCTGCAGCTCCGCCTCGGAGCGCACCCGCCGCCGCCGCTTGGCCGAGCCCAGGGCCTGCAGCCGGTCCCCGGGGGAGAGCAGCGCCGCGCCCGCCGCCCCGCAGCACTCGTAGGCGAAGCCGGGAGAGGCGGGGGAGGGCGGGAAGGTGGCGGCCGGCGCCGGGCAGCGGTAGCCGCCCTCGGGGTCGCCGCCGTCGCGGTAGTACTCCTGCAGCTGCCGGCTGAGGAAGTCCACCTCCGGTTCCAGCAGCACGTCGGCGGCCAGCGCGTCCCGCGGGGGCGGCTCGGGG